TCCAGCGCGCCCCGACCAGTAGGCGCGCGGGAAAGAAATATATTTCATGACTTTTGGGACACACCTTGTATGTCGAGAAATTCTTTATAGCGACATCTACGCCCTCTAATGATGGCCAGCAGTGGCGAAACATATAAAGGCAAAACTTCTGTTTACTCGTGTTAAACTGGTGACGTCTGGCGGACTTGTGACACATGTAAATTTACGCACCTTCGCAATACGAGGACAACAAGTGTCAGGGGTCACCGCTAGAGTGACCTGTTCAGCAAGAGAACACTGCATGGTTCGGTGGAAGCGTGAATTATACTGAACCGCTTCAAGACAGGGACCATAATACGTGGACTAAATGGGATAAAAACATATCATCAGTTTATCCTGTTTTAATTAGAGAATGATCGTGGAAACAGACATGTTTCGGTTATATATATATGGTCATCATCAGGGGCCTTGAAATGTAACACATAGAGTTACATGAACTGAATAAAACTCCTTTACAGTAGACCCAATCACAAAATACACTTGACTTAGTACTAGCGTAATTAAACAAGCCAATAAGTGAGTGTAGCGTTAAACGAAAGGCAGTACAACACAGCACTACAAGCATTAATATCTTTTGGGACTGGCTGAGTGTCTTGTGTAGCGTCCTTAGTGCGTGTTTGTTAGTTTAATGTAAATAATCATCAGGGACAATGACCTCCATTAAAAATGATAACAGAAACTTCTGGATGTGCAAAACCACAATATTTTGTTTTAACCGCTTGCCCTCTGTATGCTCCAATTTATGTGCTCTAGGTTGTGACTCCGTGGTCCGCCCCCAACTTGGGTCGCGTTGCCCGGAACATCTGTCGCACGACTGGCTCCAGTCTGGGTAAGAGCTCCGCTGCCATCTCCCGGAGAGCTACTCTTCCTCTCTTCTGGCAGAGGAGAACGCCGGACTCTCTCCAGGATGGCCTGAGTTACAGAACATTGGTATAAATCCACACAACTGGCCCACATTAAACATTAGCAAACACAGAGCATCACTGCTTACAGGAAGCTACTGGAATTCGAAACATTTCCCTCCAGTAACATGCATCTACTTCCTCCGGCTGTCTCCAAAACTAACCTAAACCCACCTACCCTACCTTGGGTAGCCACCCTTACGGACGCAAATTCTTGTGTATGTGTGAACTTCCCGATGGCATACACTACCGGAAGTATGGTGGAACTTTACAATGATGAAGCAAAACTTAGGTTACAAATCCCGATGACGCATCCTCGAGCAAATAGCAGATGGAGTATAGTTTCTCTTACCGGAGCTGTGCGCTCCTTCAGAAGCTGACAGTCGCTCAACCACATAAGAAGTTTCCACGAGCCCACCACTGGTCCATACCCTAACACAGACGAAACCTGTCCTCAACTTTCAACTGCATTTCCTTTAACACTCATTTAAATAAAACCCAACCTCCTCCGCCTAGGTCTTCCTAGTGGTCTCTTTCTACCAGGTTCTCCTAGAAAACTCTGCATGTCATTCTCCCTTCTCCCTTCTTCACTCAATTAGTGTGCTACATGGCCTGCCAATGTCAGCTTCCTGCGTTTCAATATCCCTAATTTTAGCGACGAATGAAAACTATGAGGCTCCTCATTATGTAATTTTCTCAAGCCTCCTATCACTGCATATGAGACGGGATGGCCTGCAATTTAGGGGCTGTTTTACTGCTTGTGTGGGCTCTCTTAACGTCTCCATGGTTCACGTAAGGCCGATGCCAACACATGTAACTGAACATAACAAGCAACATGTCTCAGGTTCGCAGACAACTCCCTCATGGATAACAAACAGCAAAACTAACATCAGAACGCAGTTTAAGTAACACGGTTC